TAATTGGAACAAATTTTCCACTTACTGGTGGTTGGACCAGATAAAAGAATTCAAGTAGGAGACAAATCATAGTTTCTCAGGAATATCGCATGGCTATATTGGAACTAGCCCATGAAGATCCATGGTCTGGACATGAGTAGAGATAGGACACATTCAAAATATTAGGTAGATTTTATTGGCCAGGTATTTGTAAAAATGTGACCCATTACTGTAGATCCTACCCGGTTTGTTAAGGGGAAGATAATAAATTTCTAGTGGAAAGAGGGTCTTTAATCCCAATTCCTTTTTTAAAAAATAGTCATGGACATTGTAGGCCCTCTGCCACTGTCCAGTAAAGGCAATGAATATATCCTAGTTATCTGTGATTATGCAATTATGTATCCTGAAAGTTTTGTTAAGGAATGTGACAGCCAAAAGACAGCTGAGGAGCTGTTCAAAAACCTTTATAGGATAGGAAATTCCTCAGATATCCATGGGATTTAGCTTCTTTGAGTTACTTTATGGGAGACAATCTTGAGGAGTTTTAGACATTAAGGCTGGGATGAAAACTTGGAAAGCTTTTAGAATTTAATAGAATATATATTAAAGCAAAGGAATAAGTTAAAAGCCCTAGGACACATTGTCCAGAAACATTTAGAAACAGACAAGGAAAGACAGAAGGGACACCATGATAAGGGTTTAAAGCCAAAGAAGTTTAATGCAGAAGATCAAATACTATTATTATTGCCTAGTAAAGAAAGCAAATTACAGGCTAAGTGGCAGGGTCCCTACACAGTAAAGAGTAGTGGGGTATTAAAAGTTCATACCTTATTTTTCTATTGTGGCTCAACCCCTTGTGGACCTAAAAAGAAACACCCTCAAGGGTAAAGTGGACCAAAGAATGCCAGGAGACATTTAATTAGCGAGCTGTGTGTGGGAAAGCAGTATTGAAAGGGTTGGATTTTCCCTAACCCTTTGTCCAACAAATAGACACTTCTAACATAGACTTAGGTGCAGTGCTTATCCAAAGTCATGAAGGGATGCTGTGATCCACCTTTCAAAGAAGCTCTTTCCAAGAGAACGAAAATACAGGCACCATTGAAAAAGTCTATGCACTAAAATGGGCAATCAATATTCTGCATGTTTATTTGTGGGGTTGAGAATTCACTATAATAACCATCAACCACTCATCTAGCTGCCACAAATGAGAAACCAGTTCACGGTTATACATATGGTATAATCTTATTGCCTCAATATCACTTATTGAGTGGGATATCAGAAATTCCACCTGGAATTTGTATGTACTTTTGGGATATTAAAGGACCACTGGCTGGGGGAATTCTGGGAATTAAAGTCCACACATCTTGAAAATTGTCAGGTTATGTGCACTACAAATTCAAATACAGTCTAACATACTTAGAGAGCACCCAGATGGAGAAAAGCTATTCCAAATACAGAAGTAGACAGATTGGTCTGACTCAGGATACTGCAGACTTGTTAGAAATTTTCCCCATTGAGGTTCAGCAAGTAGGAAAACTAAAGATACACACATCAAAAAAGGAGGGGAGAAGGAAAAGCAAGATAGCTCCACACATTGATTTTTACCACAGAATATTGCCAGAAACAATTTTATTTACACAAGGACAAACATTGCAACATATTACAAAATACTCAACTGAAAATTGTATTTAGAGCGAGATAGACAGAAAGCAAGAAAAAAAAATCTACAGATATTCCCCACTTGTGGGGCATCTTGCCATATCATGGGTGGGTGGGGAGGCTGTTTAGAAGGGAGGAAAAAGACAAAAAAGTCCCAATTCTCCTCAACGATAACCATCCCCATGACAGTTTAACACTGTGTGGAATTGGAACTGTAGCATAAAGTTGTTCAATGCTGGTGTCCTAAGGACTAGTGGCTTTTCAAAAGTAGTTGCTATTCTTGGCCAGAACTTTGTTTCTTTCTCCCTCCTCCCCACCCACCCTCCAAAAAAACTCAAGATGAAAAATATGAAATCAATGATTCATGGAGATTTTCTTGCCCCCACCTCACATAAATAAAGGAGGTGGTAGAAACAAATGTAATGCAACAAAGTCTAAAAGTGGAACCATCATTTCCCAATTGTAAGCTTTATGGAATACATTGATATATTTAGCTGTAATCTTTTTTTACTCTAGGTGGAGTGACTTGTATAATTGCAGTGGTAGAGTTTTTGTGTAATTTATTATGATTATGAATCTGTAAGTGAAAAAAATGGTAGTAGAGAATAATATACAGTATATTTTATATCTATGCCACTGAATAATTAGCTTGGCCCACTGAATGTAAGCTGCATTTGTATAGAAATTCATTGAAAAGCCTGCAGTGTATTTTAGGGGGAGAGACTATTTCCAACAATCCTGGTAATGCACACAAAAGTTCATGGGTTACCCAATGACATGCACAAATGGGAGCCTGACGGTACTAGGCCCTTATGTACAGGTGGACATACAGCCAGAAGCCAGCAATAAGCCTGTTGCAAATCTCTAGGACTGCATAACAACTGCCCATAAATCAAATGCAGCAACACTTGTTAAGATGTATACATGAATGTACAAATAAAGGAAATATCTGCGTCTCCTGTGTGGTCAAAGAGGAAAAGTATCAGTATTTTAAAGGAGTAGTTCATTCTATAACAGAAAGAGAATCTTGCAGAGAGTTGATGCTACAAGTCCCATCAGCTTTGGCCTTTTTCAGGCTTAGAATTCATAGGATTTCTGCCTCTAATTATCCTTGGCAGCTGGAGCTATAGCTGGAATCCAACAACATTCAGAAGCCCCAAATTTCTCATGTCACAGAACTTTATTTAAAGAACCACAGAAATGCCTTCTATGAACATTATGTGTCAAGCCAATGAGTACCTTGAAAATTCAAAATACTCACGGGGTTGGTGCCTAATGGAGTTATATATTGTTTTCACTACAACTTAGGGTACAATCCTGTATACATTTACTGGTGAGTAAGCCCTATTTAATTCAACGATGTTTCTTTCTCTGTAGACATGCATAGGATTGTGGTGATATACTGTATTCAACCTATTGTGGTGAAATCCATGGACAAAATATTCGGCCCTTTTTGAAGGCAGCAAAGAATATCTAAGCCTTGCCCATGAAAAAGGTCATTTTAGAGTTTGAAGAAACTTCCCCAATCTGTCAGTCAAGGAATCAGATGTGAAATTATGGGATGGAATCGCTAGCATTGAAGATGAATAACTTTGGACAATTGAACAAGAGCCACAGCAGACCATCTGACCTAGCAATCATTCTCCTCTTACTGAAAGATCTTCCCTAGCCTTCCAAACATGTTGGGATTTCAGTTCTGATAATAGTCAAGCCATGTTGGCTGAAGGATTATGAGAGCTAAAGTTCAATACATTTGAAAGTCCCAGGTTAAAAAGATTGTTTTTCATTAATGAGTTACACCTAATCAGTGCTCCATATTTGGCTAAGCATAATTTAAAGACAAGTAAAGATGCAAAATGACAGCTACTTTTTGAGCATTTGATCTCTACTATAAGCATGAATCACATTTTACAAACCACAATGTCCTGTTCATATACTGCATTCAACCAAGACCAAATACACCAGAGTTCAACTTATTACAATGTGTGAACAGAGTCTCTGTGTGAATGGCAAAGGCATTTGCTTTCATTGTGTTGACAGAAGCAGAAGGCTGCACAGTGCATGGTACTGAATTACAGAGATGATATGGACAAATGCAAGAGTGGTGGTGCATCCTTCTCAAGTCTTCTGGTTTCTATCATTAGGAACCACATTTGTTTTTCTGCTTTCCTATTTGGGGTGGGGTGAGGAAAGATGGTCAGGCTGGCCCATCTGAGAAGGATGACATACTGTAATGTAGCCCATTCTGAACCTGATGTCCCCTCTAATCTACAGAATATAGAAACTGAAGTCCAACACATCTGAAGGCTGTTGTAAAGTAATTAATGCTACAGGTGATACTCTACCTCATCCAGATACCTTTCATAGCAAATATATAATTTACTGCTTCTCATTTCCCATGAAACTTGATTTTCCTTACTATTTCTCACTTCTAAATATACACTTGTATATATTGGACTTTTTAAAAAAAAAACAATGAAATTCAGAAATGGTAAGAACTAAATGAGATAAGGAACACTGATGCCTTCTGTATTGAATGGTCCAGCTTGATCTTGATACTTTTAAATATCCAAAATATAGCATGAGGGAGAAATACATTACAGTACTTAGCAGTGGTCAGGCTGCCACAAATAGATCTTGGTGGGACAAAGTGTGCATTACCAAGTTGATGGGGGAAGTCTCCAATCCTCCTTATATCTCTCCCTAAGCAGAAAGCTTTTGGCTAACATGGGGATGAAAGGAAGCTATCTCCAGGCATGCACTGTTTGATAAATCAGGGCAACAGATGGTATTGAAACAGTGGTCTTCATTGCCACAAAGAAAAACGGGAAAGAAAACAGAACATAGCACTGTCAAGACACGACATTCCACTCATCATGACTGTGAGAATAATTATAGGAAAATCTGGAAAGAAGTATCACTCACACAGGCACACCATGGAACAATTGGGAGGACTAAACCTGAACAAGTGCAGGAATCTTTAAAATAGACCCTGGCAAGATTTCCATACCTGCGGCTAAAAATAGGTCACAGCCTTACATTCTACACAACTACCCCCTCCCCAGTGCCTCCCACTCCCACACACAGCTTAGAAATCCAGCAGCCCTGGTTAGTGAAAACAGTATCAAGCCCCATCTTTTCCTTTGTATCATTATCTCTGCTATCAACTTTCCAAAGGAAAGGAGAGTTGGTACGAGTTAAAAAAATACTATTAAATAATACATCTGTAATAAAATTATATACCTTTTTTCTTTATATCCATTTTTTTAAAAGCTAAAATTGCTCTGTTTCTATTTTTCCCCTCTTTTTGGCTGGTGAAGTAACAGCAAAGAATTCTCTCCTTTTTCTTTTGCTTTGTTTTTTCTTTATGAATGGACAAACTTTCATCAAAACAGAGTTTGTACAAGTGATACAAGAAATCAAATTATTTACAATAAATGACAAGGAGTCTTTCAAACAATAACTCAAACAAGAGTGAAGGAGGAAGGAAAATAGCAAAAAGAGAATGTCAAAGCATTGGTCATGAAACAGTCCACATATGCAAAACTTTTGTTACAAAAAGGATTTTATGACACATAGAGTGATCCAGCTAAGGAGGTCCAATCTTGTAAATAGGCTTGCACGCATATATCGCATATATCGCTTGACAGATTGAGAACTGCAGGCATAAACAGGACACATAATTCAGATGTGCAAATCAAAGCACAGCTGAGTGATGATGCAGTCACACTGAACTGCACTGTGTTGGAAGTGAGTTAATGCTCATCCACAATGATCCCCAGGCTGGTGAGATATTCATGGTTTCTTTGAACATACCTGGTGCAGGATCAGGGCCAAAACATGCATTGAGGCTGGGGATAATATGTGATTCCTTTCTGTATCTATGTAGGATAATTGTTAACTAGATGGCAAATGAAAAAGGGATAGTCCTATCTGAGGAGAGATGGTATAAAAATGAACTTACAGAGAAATTAAGGCATTAACAAAAATGACTTAAAGGCACACTTTTCCCCCTTTCTCCCTGCCTTGGGAGCTTTTTCTAGAGCTTAAACCAGAACTATACGAATTGAGGAACACCTTAGAGCTGAGATGAATAGAGAGATTTAGGCAACAAAGGTAGCATTAAATCCAAATATTTATGAATTTATTTTGGGGGCAAGGAAGAGAATGAAAACATTAAAAATTGCAAAGGTAGGAGAAAGGCATTTGAAAATTCAGGGCCAGGGAAGGGATTTTCAACCCCATCTCACTGTGCAAACAACCCACAAGAGAGGAATGCTGTTTCAAGATCAGATTTAGGAAGAGGTGAAGTGGGTAAGTCTGGCTCAATGCAAACAGGTAATATGAATGGCCTGCGTAGGATAGTAGAACCTTGTGATGCGTAGGAAAATTTCCCTGTTCTAGACTCTAAAATGCAAGAGGCAGCTGTGGGTCCCTTTGTTCAGACTGCAACCCATTTCTCTTTCATTCCAAACAAATGGAGGAGGGAAAATTATATATTCACTTACATGGAAGAGGAAAGAGGAGATGAAACTAAATTACAAGAGTTGGAGATGACTAATAAGATCATTAAATCCAACTCCTTGCTCAGAATGGGCATCCAGATTCAAAATTCTGAATAACGATTTAGGATCTATGTGAACACTGGAAAAAAAAAATACTGAGGAAGAATGCACTTCTTTGCTCGCTCCTACTAACTGTATGTATGAGAGACAAAGAGACAGAAAATATTTTTTCCTCCTCAAGAAGCAAAATGGTTCTTCCAGTCCTAAGAAGGGGACAGGTTTAGTGTCCAATGGAGCGAGCGGGGGAGGGAATGGTATCTGAAAAAGGAATAAGGGGGATGTCCATGTGAAAGCCCCCTCACCAGTCCCTTCACAAATCTCCAAAGAGTCAGGACAATGATGCTGGTGAGAACAAATGCTTGGAGACTGACGCGATCACGCACACACACAGAGGCTCATTTTGTCCAGTGCAACTCTTTTTTTCCTTTTTTTTCTTTTTAATAGATAAAAAATAATAATTTTGTTGTTGTTTTAACGAACTCACAAATGACCAATTAAACCCACAGAGTGACAGCTACAGAAATTGAAGTCTTGGCACTTCACAACACTGGTTCAGCCTCCATTGGCTCTTCTACTGATCTGTAGGAAGAAGGTAAAAAAAAAGAGATGATGATTAATGGTTTTTCACTATTAGTTATGCTGTTGATGAAAGGATTTTCAAGGGCTGTTTAATAGTAGTAGGGGTACTAACAATTCAAAGGCTTTGTTCTGGGTGGACGTGAGATCCAATGACAGTTATGCCCAATCTAGCACCTTCCAGATGGGCTTTGACCACTAGTGCACTCCTCCCACTTTCTGACAAACTGAGGGACCAACACACCAAAGACTAAGCCAATGTTTCTCAATCTTAGCAATGCTGGTTGATGCAAGGTAAGAAAAGACAGGCAATGCTCCTCTTCTTAGTGGATTTGGCTGTGCAGAAGTGATCCCTGCCCTTAAGGAACAGTGGTACACATGGTGCTGGGGCAACCTGGTCAGGCAGATTAGACCTCAAACCCTCACAGACAGACACTTGCCATCTCCCAAAATGAACCTACCGGACAGCACAGTCTGCTTTTCCTTGCTCTGTGTCCACTGACAATGATGCCATGGCATTGACGGTCTCTGCTTCTTCTGTCTCACCCTTCTGTGCCTCCAGCAACGAGTAGCCAACAATTGCTGCAGAACTTTTCACTGAATTCCAGTGTTTGCCTGTGATACAATTGCCAAGCATTAGATTAAAAATTCTAGTACTTATGTTGAGTTCCTGTCTTGTCTACCTACCTTTTCCAAACCCATCATACTATCAATAAAAGCACACCGTTGTGATCTTTATTGGAATATTTCTTGCTATAATCATGCCTATAATCAACCAATTGCTATGATCATGATTAAGGAGATTCATTAAAATAAATGACTAGCATCCTAGTCTAGTCTTGACTGGGACTAGATAGTTAAAACTAGCCAGTTAAGTGTAGCTTAGAGATGAGAAATTTCAGGCATGCTCTCTTCTAGCATCTAAAGATTGTTGGGAAGGTGGCAAAACAAATCTGATGCACCAGAAAGCAGGACTAGGAAAACGGGGTGGTGCAAGCAAGAGGATTTGTGCTAAAATTCAGAGAAAAATCTAAACTACTGCTTTAAAAGATAGTGGACCTTACTTCTCTTCTAAGCAGATGCTGGAAAGCCATTTGTTTGGGCTACTGTAGCTGGTGATTCTAGGGAATTGAACTGGGTGGCTTCTAAGGCATGTTTAAACCTAAATGTTATGGCTCTGAATTAGGCGGTAGCATCCTGGTCCAACTTAAACCCACCCACCCTCAATCCCATGTATGATAAAATGTTGAAGGTTATTTTATATCACTAACATTTTTTTCCAACATAATTTTTAGAGTAGTTGAGGATATTGCAGATGCCATGCTGAATATAAAGGGCAACCTGCCTCTTACAAGCATGTTGCCAACGCCCTGTTCTTCATACCAACATGCTGACTGGGGAATTCTGGGAATTGAAATCCACATTCCTTAAAGTTACAAAGGTTGAGAAACAGTTTTATACTATACAGTTATCACTCTAGCCTGAATGTAGAATAAATCACCAGTTCAAGCTTTTCTTCAACAAATCTTTTTTCCATGAGAAAATGCAATTTGAAGCCAAGGTCATGCCTCAAAAACTTACTCTGGATTTCAATGACATTCTCCAATGTAGCTATGGCATTTGCATTGGGTTTTTGTTGCAACAGAGCTTGATCCAACTGTTCCAACTGCAACAAAAAAAACACCTCAAGAGTTTAGTTTCTTGATTTCAAATCTGGACAGAAGTCATGAGTAAAGAAAAATAGTTCAAATAAAATGGGTGCCCAAGAAAAAGGCTGTATGTGAAAATAATTGGGGACATGGTGACAAAAAAGCCAAAACAATTCTATTTCTATTTCCCACAAAGCTTTCATTTGCCATTCCATCCACTTAATATTGTGAATTTATGAAGTTTGCTTCTATTTAGGTTTGAATGACATTTGTTTTTTGTTTGATTATATTTAATAATAAGGTACCTGTGCTTAAAAATAAGTTTCCATGTCTCCTTGTGTTCTGCCTATAGTACTGGTATATATACACAATTCACCAACCCTTTATTATTTTGCAGCTGAAAATCATAGATTTAGAGAAAAACTAAACACTCATAAAAATATTTGCATTCTAAATAGTGGTCTAGAAAAATATCTAAAACAAACTATATTGTTTCATACGTGTTATAAATATACAGGCTGAATGCCAAGTCACAGTTTTGCATGCTGCTCAATTTGAGTTACTGTGGTTGAAGATACTATACAAATAAAATTTAGGACAGAGTTAACATACATTTGTAAAACAATCTAATTAACATCTAATATATATAAAATCTAGGATATAGCCTATATTAAATTATAATATAAACATTTTTATAATTATAATTATAATATAAATTATAATATAAACAATACAATATAAACATGTAAAATTATACCAAGTAAAAATATCTATTAAAATTTTAAATGAATTATCATTAAAGGGGATGCACTGCAGGATAATAGCCCATCAGAGTTTGAGGGATCTTCTGTGCTGCTGTGCAAAACCTCATGCGCTGCAATAAGGGGTGTTTTGTCTATAAGCAGCATCTGGACATAGGCTAAATTCTGGTGACCAGGATATCTATTGATCAAAGGAAGTATGAATCTAGTTTGGATGTTTCCATCAAGGGAGCACTGTAGAAGGATGTGTTCTATAGTTTCTAACTCTCTGGAATCACAGGTGCAAAACCTTTCAGGCAATGAAATATTTTTGTACTTACAATTCAATACTGCAGAGGGGAGAACATGGCATTGGGCACTAGATAAAGCTTTTTGAAGACTACGTGTTTTTAGCTGTGCAAGGTAACAGTACCAATGTACTGTTGATGCTGATAGGAAGGTTGGAGCTTTCCTTAGATCTGCTTGCCTTTGCTTCAGGGATTGTTTCCCCTGATCACATTCCATCTTAAGAATTGTGGAGGGAGAGTAGCCTAAATTTTAAAGATTAGATTCCACAACCTTGATCCATGTGGATTGGATTTTTTTTCCTGAAGATTAATGGTGCTATGTCTTAGGGAAAGAAGCTGAGCTTTAACCAAAGGTTTATAGATGCACTCTGGACTCTGTCTTCTCTCATAGGTGTGTGTTTGGAACACATCATGGTATATGGAGAACTGCTCTAATGAATTTAGATTGTACCCTTTCCAGAGAGGTGAAACACAAACTGGGGAGAGGGAGGGCAACCAAAGTCCCATAAAGGAGCGGGGCTAGAGGCTTAGCCTGAAAAAGTTTGAATGCGGCTAGAACATACTATCCTCCCTTGGATCGGAACAATTTAAGGATGGCAATAATAATAATAATAATAATAATAATAATAATAATAATAATAATAATAATAATAAAGTTGGAAGGGACCTTGAAGGTCATCTAGTCCAACCCCCTGCTCAGGCAGGAAACACTATACCATTTTGGACAAATGGCTGTCCAGTCTCTTCTTAAAAACTTCCAGAGTTGGAGCATTCACCGCTTCTGGGGGCAGGTTGTTCCACTGGTTAATTGTTCTCACTGTCAGGAAGTTTCTCCTTAGTTCTAGATTGCTTCTCTCCTTGATTAGTTTCCACTCGTTGCTTCTTGTCTTGCCTCCAGGCGCTTTGGAAAATAGCTTGACTCCCTCTTCTTTATGGCAGCCCCTGAGATATTGGAACACTGCTATCATGTCCCCCCTCGTCCTTCTCTTCATTAGACTAGACATATCCAATTCCAGCAGCCGTTCCTTATATGCTTTAGCCTCCAGTCCCCTAATCATCTTTGTTTCTCTTCTCTGTACTCTTTCTAGAGTCTCAACATCTTTTTTACATCGTGGTGACCAAAACTGGATGCAGTATTCCAAGTGTGGCCTTACCAAGGCATTGTAAAGTGATATTAACACTTCACGTGATCTTGATTCTATCCCTCTGTTAATGCAGCCTAGCACTGTGTTGGCCTTTTTGGCAGCTGCAGCACACTGCTGTCTCATATTTAGGTGATTGTCCACTAGGACTCCGAGGTCCCTCTCACAGTTACTACTATTGAACAAGGTGCCACCTATGCTGTACCTTTGCATTTGGTTTTTCTTGCCTAAATGTAGAACCTTGCTTTTTTCACCATTGAATTTCATTTTGTTAGATAGTGCCCAGTGTTCAAGTCTGTCCAGATCCTTCTGTATCTTAAGCCTGTCTTCTGGAGTGTTGGCTATTCCTGCCAGCTTGATGTCGTCTGCAAATTTATGATTTCCCCATCTATCCCCTCGTCCAAATCGTTGATGAAGATGTTGAAGAGCACTGGGCCCAGAACAGAGCCTTGGGGCACCCTACTACACACTTCCCTCCATGTAGATGCGGTTCCATTGAGGACCACTCGCTGAGTACGGCCGGTCAGCCAGCAACGGATCCATCTGGTGGTGATGCTGTCTACCCCACATTTTTCTATCTTGTCAAGTAGTAGGTTGTGATGTACTTTATCAAATACCTTACTGAAGTCCAAGTAAATTATGTCCACAGCATTCCTCTCATCCACTAATTTTGTCACTTGGTCAAAGAATGCAATAAGATTTGTCTGGCATGATCTATTTTTGACAAACCCATGTTGGCTTTTAGTAATGACTTTGTTTGCCTCTAGGTGTTCGTTGATTCGTTGTTTGATTATCTTTTCCAGGATCTTCCCAGG